CAACACCAAGTCAAGGGTTAAGATCCCCTTACCAGTCATCTTTAAAAAAAAAAAAAAAAGGCCTTTGGTAAAGATAACAACAAAAGCTAACATCTATTGACTTGGTAGTTATCAGGCACTTTTCAAAGCACTTTAGGTATACTGACTCTCAGTCCTGACAATAACCTAAGGAAGTAGATATTACCCACATTAATAAGGAAAGAAAGGCGCAGAATGGTTAAATAACTTGCATAAGATCACATGAAAAGTGGAAGAAGCAGGGAAATTAAGCCTGGTGGTCTGATTCTAGAGCCCCAGTGCTTACCAATTACGTCCCCAGGGCTTTTTGGCTTTCTACTCTTTTAAGAAAAGGTCCATGTGGGCCGGCCCGGTGGCGCACTGCTACAGTGCGCCGCGTGCAAGCGCGGCGGCGCTCCCGCCAAGGGTTCGGATCCCACATACAGACCGGCCGCTCACTGGCTGAGCGAGGTGCGGGCGGGACACCGAGGGTTGCGATCCCGTTGCCAGTCCCGATCCAGTACGGGCGCGACACTGAGGGTTGCGATCCGTTGCCGGTCACGAAAAAAGACAAAAAGGAAAAAAAAAGAAAAGGTCCATGATAATTACCATCATCTACTACAAGGTATAAACTTTAAAACAGAAGTTCTCACATCTAATTCTCTCAATGACCTATCAGGAACCACCACAATTGCAAGTGAAGAAACTGCCTAGCTCAGAAGGCTCCTGGCCAGGGAGGCAAAGAACCCAACAGTAGCACCTGCCAGGAACCAGGTCTGCGTGGCTGCACAGCCCCCATTCTTTCGTGGATCCACACTTCCCCCTTCCCGCCCCATCCACTGCCCAACACAAGACTTTGCACACATCAATGCCAAAAAAGTACAGACTGAAAAGACGGGACAGACTGCCTGAAGTCAGGCCCTGAGGACAGTAATCTCAGAGAGAGCATGACCAGGGACTACCGGAGGAACCTATGAAACCTGCACCGATTTAGAAGTGGCGAGAGAACCTAGCACCAATTCCGCATCAGTCACAAGAGGGAAGACCTAGGAGAGAACTACTCCCAGACAACAGCTGAGGAGAAAAATACTAACAGCCTGCCTGCTAGGAACCAGAAACCAGGTGAAGTGGTGGCTGGTGGATTATGTGGTAGTGGTGGCAGTTGTAGCGGTGGGGGTGGGGGATTCATTTCGGATAGCAAGAGAAAAAAATCTATTTTCTAGCCACAGGCATACAGAAGGTGTTATTAAACATCTGCTGAGTGAATGAAGGTGTCGGAGAAAACAGTATCCAGTATCTTTACTGCCTGGGGTTAATGTGAGTTGGAAAACTATCAAGTTCTCATTTCTTCATACAGAGAAATCAGCTCACAAAAGCTGGAAATGACTAATAACATTTAAGGGTGTACAAGTTTGGGGCACATAATTGCAAAGCACCTCCAGGAGAGCCGGGGGCTACATCCCGCAGGACCCAGCCAACCCCCAGCCCGTCCCACCTGTTTTCTTGCCCATGCCTGAGGCCAACTCAGCTCTCCGTGGCCTCGGGCAAGTCACTCCACCTCTCCCAGCCTCAGTTTCCCGTTTGTGAACTGGGCAGACAGAGCACACGTGAAGAGTAAACAAGACAGTGTGTGTAGAAAGCGCTCCTAAAACTTCAGACGCCGCAGAGCGAGGCGAGTGTGCAGAGGCAGCTTGCAGAGGCGGACGGGAGCGGGATTCGGGTTTGAGTCTCAGCTTCGGCAGTGTCTCAACAAGTCACTTGCCCCGTAAACTTTAGTTGTCTTAACTCTGAGATGGGTGGCTATGAGGAAGCGCAGACACCACCGGGGAGCGGGGCCCAAAGGCCTGTCTTCAGCGGGAGGGGCCGCGCCACCAAGACCCCAGGGACACGGGGCCCCAGTGGACAGTCCCTCCCCTCCCCCAACAAGCTGGGCACCCCGTCCCCACCGCAGCGCCACCGGCCTCCCCCGACCCACGGGAGCCAAGGCGCTTCCAACCAGTGGGCGGGCGGGTGGCCAGGCCCGCGGTGGCGGCGACGGTGGCGACGACCCGGCCAATGAGGAGCGCGGCTGCGACAGGGGGCGGGAGCAAACGGCCCTCCGTCTCACGCCCCGGCCGCTCCCTCCTCCGCCCCGAGCCCCGCTAGGCCGCGGACCCTGAACCCTGAAGGGAGAAAAGGGCGCTCACCTTCCCTTCGCCGCCGCCCAGCGCTTCCGGATGAGCTCGTCCAAGGAGATGTCCGCCATCTTGCGCCGCCGAAAGAGTCGAGAGCCGCTTAGACTGGCCTTAGCCGCGAGCCCGCCCCTTCACACCCGACGGAGCGACAAGCAACTTCCGGCGCTCCGCCGACCAACTCTCGCGACAGTTCAAACCACGCAAGGACCGGAAAGGGCGGGGACGCTCCCCATGAGTCTTCACGGTACCGGCTGCTTATCTGCATACGGCGAGTTGGGAGTACTAGTGATCCTTTATTTTCCCGGGAACAAATCAAATAAAAAGCGACGTAACAAATTAATTACTGAAGAACAAAAACTTCAGAGGGACGGGTCTGTTAATTTAATAGTCTATTGTGATACTCACCGTATGGGTAATGAGAATAGGATACCTTACCTAGGAAGTAAGCACAGACACATTTTATGCCTTAAACTTATGAGTAAGGAAAATAACGATTCGGGGTGACGCCCGAATCCTCACTGCTAATGTGAGACGAATTTTTGAGCGGGTAAAAGTTGCCCCCAGCGGTGACCCGCCTACTTTGCGGGATGCCCAGGAGCTGCGACTTGCCCGGTTCCTTTAGACTTAAAAAGCAGATTGTTTAAAGGTTTTATTCCCGGCTTCGTGTTCCATTACTTTAAAAGTAGAAACGATACTGGGCCAAGCAAGCGAGTCCCTAAGGCGAGTTCTTCGTCCCTGTTTCTTTCCCTGTAGTCTCGGCCACAGGAAATTCCCAACAATACGTTATTCCCGGCTTCGTGTTCCATTAGTTTAAAAGTAAAAACGATACTGGGTCAAGCAAGCGAGTCCCTAAAGCGAGTTCTTCGTCCCTGTTTCTTTCCCTGTAGTCTCGGCCACAGGAAATTCCCAACAATACTGATTGTTATGGCTCACAAAACTGGCCGTTTTCACACGGTTCATTCTGAAATTGCGCGACCTCAGCCAGTTCCCTGAAACCGTTCCCTGTATAACCACTGAATGGTGGGTGAGGCGGTGTGCCGCGCCGGCCCCACGAGGTAGGTGCTCGCTCGTGGCATGGGGGTGAGAGCTGTGGGGCCGCCTAGCGGCAGGAGCTTCCCAAGCAAATCGCCTCACTTCTCTGTGTCTCTGTCTTCCGGATCTGTAAAATGGGGCAAATGACAGACGGGTCGTTGGGAGGGTTGGATGCGTGGAGTGGCTTTCTCAGTGATGTCACCCCAGCCTCCAGCACTGAGCCAAATATAAGGGGGGGGGGGGTGTTCAACACATACAGGTACTTGTCGAATCAGTCACTAAAAAATACATTTAGAACGGGTGGAGTTACCATCACACCACAATAAAAAATCTGGCATCAGGAGCTCCGTGGAGAAACTGGGTAAGAGCTAGGAAAGCCAGAAAGGTCTGGGGTTGCACAGCAGACAGCAGATGGGAGTCCAGGTCCCCCCTGCGCACCTGTGACTGGGTCCTAGCCCACCCCCAGCCCCTGCGTGGCTTCCTCGTTGCAAGACTGGACCATGTACCCCTCCTTTCCTCGTCCCAGGGGAACACGACAGGGATGAGGAAAGGAGGGCCGGGGGACTCGGCCTCCGTTCTGGTGCCAGCTGGACAATGTAGGACAGATGGGGAGGAAAGTGGGAAGGGGCCAGAGGACCACAAGAGTTAAGGCCCTGTCGCACCTTAACATGAAAAAAGTTCAATGTTAAAAGGTCACTACTGTGGGTTGAATGTGCGCCCCCCCCAAAAAAAAACCCCAAAACTCACTGAAACTCGATCCCCGTGGTAACAGTGTTAAGAGGGTGGAACTCCAATTATGAAACTTGCAAGGTGGGGCCTTTAAGTGGTGATTGGATCAAGGGGACTGTGCCTTCGTGGGTGGATTGATGCATTCATGGAGTAATGGGTTGATGGTTTAACGAGGGTCCTGGGTGTGGTTCTGATGGCTTTATATGGAGAGCAGTGAGGTCAGCTCTCTTGCTCAGCCCATTCTCCCCATGTGATAGATACCGTGTGTCACCACGGGACCCTTTAGAGTTCCCACCCGAAGGCCCTCACCAGATATACCCCCTGGACTGTGGACTTCCCAGCCTCCTAAACTGTAAGAAATAAATTTCATTTCTTTATAAATCACCCAGTTCCAGGTATTGTTATAAGCAACAGGAAATGGACTAATGTAGTCGCTGAAGTGTTTTAGGTTTTTTTTGACGGCTGACTAGTCTGGAGATCCAAACCCTTGACCATGGTGTTATAATACTGCGCTCTAACCAGCTGAGCCAACCAGCCAGCCCGTAAATGATTTTGTAAGCCAGCACAATTGGGTCATAAACTGAGATCTGATTCTGGGATGGCCCCTCCCCGCCAGGGGCATTTCAGAGCTTTGGCTGTCCCTACAACAGGGAGCGAGGGCATGTGGAGGTGGAGACCGGTGAGGGGGCATCTGGGGTGCAAAGCAGCCCAAGTCCCTGGACATTCCCAGAGGGGAGAGCCCGTTACATAGCTCTGAGCCCAGGCAGAGATGCATTTCTTGCATGCACACACAAGACTTTTTGCCCAATGTGAACAAGTGTGGAATTTCCAGCAATGCAGCTGCGCTATAGCTGAAGGAATTCAGTCCCGCTTTGTTTGGAAATTCAGCAAGAGTTCTGCCCCGCCTGGAAAAACTGTGCCCCTGGTGGCGGAGCCCGGGAGTCTTGCGGCATTGGGGCTGTAACAGTCCCCAAGTCTGTCCCATGTATTCAGGGGAACTTGGGCTGAGCCTTTTTACATGCTGAAATACGTTTTCTTTTCTTTCTTGCTCTTTTAGAATTTATTTAGAGCTTTGTGTGGATTTTTTAAATTCTGCATGTATAGGTGATACTGCCTGTGAATTCACGAGAGTAAAGGACCTGCTACAATCATTATTTTTAGAGTGTCGGGTCTGAGAGGGTGGAGAATCGTGACCTAGTTCACACACTCATTTTATGGATGAGGAAACTGAGACCAGGAGAGGGTAGGGATCAGGTCCAAATCACTCCGTTCTTCCCAGCTCCAGGAGACAGCCTCTTGTGGGCTTAGGCAGGTCTGCATTCAAATCCTGACCCTCTGGCCTGTTTTCTCGCCCTCGGACAGAGACAGGAATGAGGATGAGACCAAATGTCTGTAGAGTGCTCGGCACAGTCGCCGGCACACAGCGTGCAAAGAGCCAGTAGGGCCCGGAATTCCCAGGCCCGGTCCTTTCCCTCCACTGAGGAGTCCCGGCCCTGCCCGAGTGAGGCCAGGTTGTGTGCCAGCAGCAGAATAGAAAGTCTGAGGTGAGAAAAAAGGAGCTCCCCTAGCCCAAGGACTGCCTCAGGCCTTCTGTCCTGTGAGCTTCCCCCACCCTTTCTTCCCTGCTCCACTCCAGCCACACTGGCCATCATTACGTTCCTGGGGCCACCCAGCAAATTCCTGCCCCAGGATGCTTGCACTTGCTGGTCACTCCCTCTGGAGCACCAGTCCAGCCCTGCCTCTCTCTCCAGCCTCATCTCCACTGCCCCTTCCAGCAACCTGCCTTCTTTGTTCTGTTCCTGGAAGCTTATTCCATAAGCTTGTCCCAACCACAGGGCCTTTGCACCTGCCATTCTCACCACCTTGAACACCTACCCCAGCAGCACCAGCTTCTTCTCTTCACCTCCCCACACAAATGCCATCTCCTCAGAGGTGCTGCCCAGCTGAACAGCCCTTACTCCCACTATGTCTCCTCACCTGTCACTTGTCGAATCTTTCCCACCAGAACCCCCACCAACGGGGCAGTGAAGGGAGGGGACATGTGGGAGGCACGTGTCATTGAGGGAAGCCAGCAGCCACATGAGTGGACTCAGGTAAAGTGGGGAATTGTTTTTCCTGTGTATACTTTTCTGCACTTTGCAAATTTTCTACAGCACAAATGTACATCAGAAATGAACGCCATGGGCCAGCCCGTGGCTCACTTGGGAGAGTGCGGTGCTGATAACACCAAGGCCACAGGTTCGGATCCCTATATAAGGATGGCCGGTTGCTCACTTGGGAGAGCCTGGTGCTGACAACACCAAGTCAAGGGTTAAGATCCCCTTACTGGTGATCTTTCAAGTTTAAAAAATTTAAAGTTTTTAAATTAAAAAAAAAAAAAAAATGAACACCAGGCCTCGTGCAGCCTTTTCCCACCTCCCCCACCCTGGGGTGACGTCACAGAGCCTCAAGGAGCTGCAGAAGGGTTGATATTAGCAAAGTTTTACTTCAATTTTTTTCCTGCTCATAAATGACTCTGAAAAAGCCAATATGCTAGAGGCTAACACAGTTGTTGTCTAAAGGCAACGTCAAAGCCACCGAATATGTCTCTCAGACAAGAGGCACTGCTTGAAATCTCCCCCAACACTGGGCAAGAGGAGGGGTAAGTTTGGGACAGAGGAATAAACATGGTGGCTGTAGTTCTGCCCCCACGGCTGGTGGCCCCAGAACCCCAAGGGGGTCCATCGGGCTGCCAGGATGACAGCTTGAGACTCCCAAGGCTGTGCATATGTCTGGATGTGTTAGGGTTTCAGGAAGGCCCATGTGCCAGTCCAAGGGGCCCTTGGCCAACACCCTCTTACTGGGCCTGCCTGGGGCCTGGGCTGGGGGGTAGCCTCTCACCCTGAGCAGCCCCCCTCCAAGAGGACTTTTTGGTATTTCCTGTCACCTGTAGCGTCAGGTGCTAAGGCCCAGCCTCAGCTCTGAGGCAGGCAGCAGGGGCAGCGGGCAAGGGTCCCAGGACGGTGGCTGAGGTGGTCCCTGGCACCTGCAGCTCAACTGTGGTTCACTGCCCAGAGAGGCTGGTGGAACACAGTGCTGGCAGCCCTGGGCCTGTAGTGTGTGTGGAGGTCATGAGGACGGGTGGAGCGGCACCTCGGTGAGAACTGGTGAGTGCCAGACAGGAACCTATCTGAAGGCGGCCAGCCGTGGCCCACCTGAAACAGATCCTGCTCCCAAAATGGACCCTCAGGGGCCAGCTCAGCTCAGCTGGGTGACCATCAGGGCACGGGCAGGCCAGGCCGAACCCGGGGCTCCAGCGTGAGATGTGGGCAGATGGGGGGAGATGGCAGGGTAAGTGTGGACAGGGCGAGGTGAGTACGCGGGGCGGGTGGGTGCGCGTGCGGCCAGCCCGGCCATCAGAAGGCGAAGCAGCGCTCCTTGGGGTGGCCCACGCGGTCCAGGTTGGGCAGGCAGGCGTACTGGATCATGGGCGGGGGTCCGCACATCAGCACCAGCGGCTCCTCCTCCGGGGGCGGGAGATGGTCCCGGATCATCTCCTCGTTCACGAAGCCCTGGCTGTAGTCCCAGGCTGTGGGGTGAGACACCAGGTGAGCCAAAGTGTGGCCCGGTGACCAACTGCCCGTCCATGGCAAGTGTGCGTCACAGTCCATGTTTCTGTACAAACCTCATTCCTGACTCCACTCATTTTGTGGCCCTGCCCTTTTTTTCTTTCACTCCCACTTCTCATTTGTACCACTCTGACTCACCACAGGAGTCTTTGTGAGCCTCCTAAAATTCCTTCTGGAACAAGGCATGGCATAGATAGATAGATAACATTTTTATAGCTGGGCAATGGATCTGAAAACACTTTGTAAAACACTGCGTGGGGGCTGCCAGTCAGCTCAGTGGGCTAGAGTGTGGTGCTGACAACACCAAGGTCCGGGTTAAGATCCCCTTACCGGTCATCTTTTTTCGTATAACTTCGTATAATGTATGCTATACGAAGTTATTACGTTCCCCAGGTCTCCAGTGAGACTGATACCCAATTTTCCACAAAAAGACCTATTCATTCATGCTGATTTTTCCACTTAGCTATTCATACTTCCTAAGTTCCTCTTCCCAATAAACTACTTGCATCCAATGTGTTAGCCTATGGGATAAGCTGTTATATTAAAAAAGCCAGATGCCTAGTAGTATAAATAGTATGCTACTACCTTATGTGTAACATGGGGGACAGAGATTGCCAGTTAATTAAAGTGTGGTGCTGGTTATTTGCTAGTTTACAAAATGTGTTTATGAGATGTGAAGACACGTCTCAATATTATAAGGATTATTTTTGGCTAGTGTATTTTTCTTTACATGTGTACTGAAGGTGGCTTTGTGGGGGATGTAAGTCAGCTGCGCTTGTCACGTGTTCTAGCTGCTGTCCCCTGCTCCTTCACTAGCTCCACAGTACAGCCGCCCTGACCTGTGACCATTTTCTTTCTCAGTCAACATCTAGAACTTCCGTGTATACCTAATGCTACAGCAGTACTTCAACTAGTTTTGAATTGTGGGTCAGGGTTGTAATCAACGTAAGAGAAAAACGCTAGGACACCGCCCAGCCATTGACCCCACTGGCCGCTGACTGCTTACGGTTGAGAAAACTGCCCCTAGGAGGTGGTCTCGGCGTGCCACATGCCACCACCAGGGGTCAGCACTGGCCCCTCCCCCTGCTGGTCACTGGAGGCTCCAGTTCTCATTGTGGCTAAACGCTCCCTCACCAACGAGCCTCCCCGACCACACTACAGAGACGGCAGTCAGAGGGAGCCAACCCACCTCTCATTTCCCCCCTTCTGACTAGACAAGAGAAATGTTCCTTTCTTTATTAAAAGAAAAACAGCAGCTCTGACTCCCAGAGCCAGGGTCCACTCCTGCCTCCCCAGCCCAGCTCCACTCGGTCTCCCGCTATCACACTAACCAGCTGCCACCATGCTCTCTAACTTACAGATAAGCCTGTTCCCCATTTGTCCTCTGCGCCCCCACTAGAACATCTGCTCCTGGAGCCAGGTGGGCTTCATGAACACACAGAGCAGAGGGTCTCACCAGGAGGGGACCTGCCTCACTCAGAGGGGCTGGCCCAGGAAAGCTAATCCAGCCAGAGGCCTTGGGACACAGCAATCAAGTCCATGAATCCACCCAGGCCTGGGTCTCAGCCTGGAAGGCCCAGAACCCAAACTGATCAAGCCAGGAGGGTAGCCCCTCCCTCAGGGGTTGCCCAGATGGCCCAGCTCAAGAGACAGGTGCAAGCCTCCAGAGCCTATGCGCTCATTTCTGGGGGAAGCACAGGGTGGTGTGGACAGAGCCTCCCTGTCAGCAGAGGGTGTGTGTCTCCCACTGTGCGGGAGTCCTGGGGGGACTGGAGGGCCATGGGAAGAGCCAGAGGCAACGGAAGGGCAGGATGCCAGGATGCGAATGCGGATCACAAGCTGGCACCCGCGTGGGTACTTCAAAGATGTCCAGTTTCCAACATCTACAAATTTCCCATGAAAATGCAGGTCCCCAGCTTCTCTTGAAAAGTGTATGCGCTCATTTCTGGGGGAAGCACAGGGTGGTGTGGACAGTTTCCAACATCTACAAATTTCCCATGAAAATGCAGGTCCCCAGCTTCTCTTGAAAAGTGGCACAGCCCTGGCTACAGAGGGCTGTATTCCTAGACAGGGGGACTGCCCCCTCTGGATGGGGCAGAGGCGTCCAACCTACCACAGTCCCCACCGTGCTCTATAGCCTCCCAACCCTGAAACCAAACACCACCGGAATTATCCAGCTGCTGCTTTTCTTACAGCAGGGAAAAAATTATGATATTTCTTTTACCAACATCTCTACCTAGAATAGGAAAAGTAAGGATAGTTTAATTCCCAGAGGGCAAGCTCATTTCAGGTTTGGGGGGCAGTCCTCATCCTCTGCCTCCACCATGTGGTCTTGACTCTTCCACAGCTCACATGTGACCTTAGCAAACAACTGAACCACCCGGACAGGTACAATGAGAGTAACCATAACGTTGGCCCAGTCTGCTCTCCACGGCTGATGATGGGGGAGAAAATGGGTGTAAAGTATCCTATGGGGTATAACCTGCAAAGCAGAAGCAACTGCCCCCACCCCCAGCACTGTCCCTGGAGATCCGCCCAGAGGGAGCCCCAGCCCAAGGCGAGAACACCAGGCCTTCTTCGTCCAGGGGGTGGTGCAGTGGGCGGGGAAGGACTCTGGCTCTGGAGGTGGACGACCCGAGTTCCAGCCCCAGCTCTGGTGCTTTTTAGCTGTGTGACTCTGGGCACTTGCTCTGAGCCCTTGTTCCCCATCTGTGAGATGGGGGTCACACCACCTCTCTCACAGGCCACAGTGAACACCGGACGAGATCGTGCGAGCAGGAGGCTCAGCACTGCGAAGGGCCTGGCACAGGTGAGCCCCTGGCGGCGCCCCCACCCCTCCCGGGGCTTCGCTCTCACCTTCAGGAGCCCTGTCCACTGTGAACCAGAGCTTGAAGCGGGCGGAATGCTCGTTCCGCAGTTCCTCCAGCTCGGGACGAAGCAGGATGTCCTTCTCAGTCTGTGGGGGATAGGGCCAAGTGGTCAGGAGGGACGGGTCGCAGGGACTGCCCCTGCAGACATGCAACAGACATGTGCCCACACCGCGGGTCATGGCGCCCACCCGCGGGCCACACACTTGGCCGAGTTTCTGGGAAAGTCATCAGGCCCAGCACACCCGAGTCCTGAAAACATGCTCACCCCTTTCTGGTCAACAGGCCTAGAGAGCCGACCCAAGCTGCTGACGAAGACATGTGTTACCAACGGGGACTGCACAGTCGTAATGTGGGGAAGCGTGCACAATGTAACGAGGAGGGAAAGACTGGAAAAGAAGACTAAAGAAGACAGAGCTCCCTACAGAGACAGAGGAAGACGACGGGAAGGAAATGTGCTAAAACGTTCCCGAGCCCACCCCTGAGGGAGGTTCTAGTACACAGACAATGAGTGCTCCCCATTTAAAGGGGGAGGCTTCGCCACCCTCATGCCTCGGGCAAGGCATCCCAGGCTGTACCTCCATGACTCAGGAGGCACATGCACACCCCACGTCACACCTGCCCCTCGCCCAGCCTGGCCTTGCCATCCCTGCCTGGCCAGCTCCACATGGACCTGTGGAACTCAGTCCAGCATCATCCTCTCCAGGAAGCCTTCCCAGACCCCAGAGGGTATCAGGGATCTCCTCTGGGAGTCCCCGTCTGACCTGGCCTCCTCCCCATTCCTGACCACAGGCTGTTGGCCATGTGTTTGCAGGCCACTCAGAGACATGGGGGCCCCTTGAGCCAGTGGGCAGTGTCACTGACCTTGTGGGACTCAGAAACCAGGGCCAAAGATCACTGCCACCAGAAAGGGTCACCTGGCAACAGACCACTACTGGAGGCCCCAGGCAGGGTGAAGGGCGGGGTGGATCCTCCCCAGCAAGGCGGCCACAGGAGATGCAACTTCTCTGCTCCCATGGCTGTGAGCAGCGCCCACCCACCACGTGACCAAAGGCGCTTGAATACACTCAGCAAGACGAACCACCATGGGACTAACTGCAATAGGGACGGAGAGCGGGAAGGGGACCAATGTTTGAGTACCCACTGCATGGTGGGCACTGTGCTGATAAGGGGGGAGCGAAACAGCCCACACTGTTGTGATTCGTCCTCACAAGGGCCCCACAAGTCCAGCTCCTCAATGTTCTCCTCTGGGAAATGGGCTACAGGTGGGGGGCACACCCCTCTGCATGTCCCAGGGAAGGAGGATTTGGATCAGCTTTTCTGATTTCTAAGGGGGGCAGTGCTTAGGGCCCCTCCTGTCCTAATGGGGTGAGGACAGGGCTTAGGCTGGACAAGCTGAAAGTAAAACATACAGAAAATATGGAAGAATCTGAACCCTTCAGAGTTAATGACTGTTTGGATTTTAGTGTTGTACCTTTTAGACTTTCTTCTTTCTATTAACTACATATAATTTTCTTTTTTTTTTTTTAATTAAAAATGGGATCAGACCGTGCATGCCACCCTGTCACCTGCTTTTCTTGGGTAAAAACACACCACAGCCTGTCCACGTGTCAGTGGCCCCTGTGCACCAATGCCCTTTGACCAGCTGCCCAACTTGCACCGGGTGGAGGGACCACCTGTTCCCTGCAGAAGGACCCCTGGATTGTTCGAACAACCTCCTTTACAAACAACATCTCTTTGAGCATCCTCACGGCCCTACCAATTCGTTAGGATAAGTTTGACCAAGTGTGGTTTCAGGGTGGAAAACTCCACACCATTAAGGCGCTCGATACACGCAGCCAATCTGCTTCCCGGAGAGGTCCCTCCAACTCCGAGCCCAGCAGCGGGCCCCACGGTGGCCCTCTTCCCACACCTCGGCCTGCACTGGTTTAATTTTTGGTTTAATCTGTTTAATTTTTGCCAGTCAGATGGATAGAAAAGTAAATCTCATGTTTTAACTTTCATAATAAAAGACAGACCTGTGTTCAGTTCCTCCTCGTATCTCTTTCTAAGCGCTCGGTCGTGCATGTGTACTTTGTCTTCCAAACTGTTCTGCATCGTTTTGTCATATGAAAGCGGGGGTAAATCCCCCTGGGAATTTCAGCTTTACTTTGAGACTATCAGGCCTCCCTGTCCCAGAACAATATACGTGTCCCTGCGCATGTACGTCTCCCTTGTTGCCCTTCTAGGCTGACGCGGGCCGCGGAGCCCTGAGCTTCCCCCACTCCAGGACCCGGCCTCAGCGCTCCCCTCCCCGTGCTCACTGCTGCTCATTCAGGAAGAACCCATGTCTCTGCAGTGTAAGTCGTCCTGTCCAAACCTACGTGTGTCTCACAACCATCCCGTGACGCGGCTGCCAACGTTACCAGTCCTGACAGATGAGGAAATGCAGGGGTGGGAGCTCAGGGGGCTGCCATCCAAGGGCAGGCCCCCCCAACTCAAATCTGAGCACTGAGGTCACCAAGAAAGAAAGGAGAGACAGACAATGAATCAACTGGAGCGGTTCTTAGAGTGTGGCCTGGGGCACCCCAGAGTCGGACCCTTCAGGGGGTCCATGAGGTCAAAACAACTTTCACATAATACTACGAATTCTTTGCACTTTTCACTCTTGCTCTCTCACGAGTGTGCAGTGGAACTTTCCAGAGGCTCCAGGACTTGCAATATCACACAGAAACATGGGAATCCAGCTGCTTCTGTTCAGCCAGCATCACAAAAGTTTGCAGAATTGTTACACAAAATGATGTTTTCTGAATATAACTATTTTTCACAAAAATATGCCCTGGTTCAAGTCCTGGCTTCAACAATTCCTGTGAGAAATATACAGTCAAGCCCTCTCTGATCCTGTGTCCAGAGCTAAAGGATGAAGTGACCCCAAGCCCTGGCTAAAGGCTAATAGGTACAAAAATGCCCCATACAGCTAAGAAATGGTCTCATAGCCTCCAACTCTACCCAGGCACCCAGAACCCTCTACCCCAGCACACCCTAACCCAGCACCCAGCACCCGGCACACCCTAACCCAGCACCCGGCACATCCTCACCTAGCACCGAGCACACCCTTACCCAGCACCGCCAAGTCTAACTGCTGTCCTCTCATCCTCCAATCGGCCAGCTCGAATTTTCTGGCTCTTTCTCCCTACCCTTGAGCCTGATCAAGGCCACCTTGGTTTGCCTTGGGCAGTTTTCTGCAGCTGTGCGGGGGTCCAAGGACCCATGTCCAGGGTCCTCAGCCAAGGCCCTCCCTTCCTCCTCTGGGCTCGGTTTCCTCACAGGCGGGCAGTGTGGAATTGGGCCATATGGACCCACGGGACAAGCTGACCTGAACTACATTGGAGGCACAGGGGGTCTAGGCATGGGCCCCCCACTGTCGGGGTGGGGGAGGGGATGGTCTTACCTTGGTCTCCCTGCAAAGGGGTGTCACTTTATAAAACCCACATATGCAGTCATAACATGCTGAGCCTAGAAAGGCCTTGCCCCAATCTTACTCCATCACCTCATTCTGCACATGAGGGAAGGAAGCCCAGAGAGGGCAAGGGACTCATCCAAGGCCACACAACAGGCCAAGGCAGGCAGGCACTGTGCTCGGGGATGAAGATATAAATCAGGAGTCAGAGGGACCTGAGCTCAATCCCGACACTCTCTAACTCAGGGAGCTTGTACAGATGTCTGCTCCCAGCACCTCATTTGTAAAGTGGGCCCCTCCATCTGCAGGCTGGCCTGAGCCCAGGCCAACGTTCTTCCCACTCCACTGCCAGGTTCCAAACTCTGCTCGTGGTGAAGGGTGTTCTGAGGTTTGGAGGAAGCACCCAGAGTGGGCAATCTCAGGGTGGGGGTGCTCCAGGTGCCACCCCACCCCCAAGCAGCCCTACTTGGTCAGCCACTCTGAGCTCTGGACTGCAAATCCTGATCCACCTGCTGCCGCAAAGGCTGCCTGCCCAGAGTGGGCAATCTCAGGGTGGGGGTGCTCCAGGTGCCACCCCACCCCCAAGCAGCCCTACTTAGTCAGCCACTCTGAGCTCTGGACTGCAAATCCTGATCCACCTGCTGCCGCAAAGGCTGCCTGTGCATAGACCCTCAGAGCATCCCTTCCACGCTGCTTGTTTGCAGCATCTCAGCAGAGCCGTGTGGACCCCTAAACGTGCCTGGCTGGGCCCTGAGTCCCCTCTCAGGGGAAGCATAGTTTGCATATCTTGGGACACCCACTCACCTGGTTGGCAAAGAGCAGGTGGCACACAGTGTGGTCATCGGGGTCTTTCATGATGGCGCGGATCACCTGCAACATTGGGGTGATGCCTGCAAAAGAGCCGGGACCCCCCCCCCACGCACTGAGTGAGCGCCTGCTGGGTACACACAGGATGGTACCAGGTGTCTGAGGGCGGAGAAGTGCTAGGGCAATGGGCCTGGGCCCCTGACCTCAGGCAGCTCACGAGCGCTCAGAACCTATGCCTCAATCCACACCTTGACCCTGACCTGCAGACCTCAACCCACAACATGCGCCGCGTAGGGATTCAGTGAGGGGCTCTGGGCCCCACCTACCTGTCCCTCCAGCGATCATGCCAACAGACTTCACTGTCTTAATGATGGGGTTGGATTTCTTGTCGGGACGGATGGCAAACTTCCCTGGGGAGAAAGAAGAGGTGAGGCCTGGTCCTCAAACACGCTGTGCAGGGGGTCGGACAGGATGGAGAACCTGCCCCTACTTCAAGGGTCTGACATAGGGGCAGCTGCCACACAATCCCAGCCTGTTAGGGTGAGGGAGAGGACGGGAAGGTGGGGATCCAGGACCCAACTCAAATGTCCTCTCTGCAGGGAGCAGAGCGGAGTCAGGTAGACCAGAGGACTCCAGCTCAGTCCTTTTTTGTGCTTGTTTCAGATGCTGAGTAAGCCATACAAAGATGGTCTGTGGGCTGCAGCTGACTCCCAAGAGCAGCCAGTCTGCAGCCCATGTGCTGGCCAGCTCATCCCAATGAGACAGCTGCCCAACCGGAGTCACCTACCCAGGCAGGGCAGTCAGGCCCTGTACCTGGCGCTCCCAAGAGCAGCCAGTCTGCAGCCCATGTGCTGGCCAGCTCATCCCGATGAGACAGCTGCCCAACCGGAGTCACCTACCCAGGCAGGGCAGTCAGGCCCTGTACCTGGCATCCCCAGGCTCTTAGATTCTCCAAGCCTGTTCAGTAACCAGGAGATTCCAACCCAAATCACCTTTGCCCTGGTAGACCAGCAGCCCATTTGGGCCCCGGAACTCAATGGTATCTCCAATCTGCATGCCTTCCAGGTACTGAGACATCTTTCCTCCAGCGGGAAACTTGGGATGGGTGTCCTTGAAGTAAACCTGCAAGACACACTAGCAGCCCTCAGTCCCCTGCCCCAGTGTCTCCAGGGCAAGCTCTTGCCCACGGTGGGAAGCCAGCGCCTCCTCTGGGGTTCTTCTGAGGCCAGCGTGTGGCCTTCCCTGTGGTGCCCCATCTACCCATCAAAACTACCTATCCCGTGTCCCATCCTCTCAGGAGTCTGCCCCCCACCTAACATGCCCTGGGAAAGCCGAGCATCAGCCTGGTATACAAGGCTACCCAACCGGAGAGCTCAATGTGTGAACATTCCAGCAAGAGCCCTCTGTGTGGGCCCTGCCTTTTCTTGTCAGCGCAGTAAAGGCTTGGGAAGTCAGCTCAGCCACACCCTCCCGGGGGATATTCCATTCTTTCCATTTTGTGCTCTCATAAAAACATCACTCTTGGAACAACTCCCGTCCCTGTACCCTTTGGGATCGCTGCCTTGGGAAAGAGCCGTGCTATGATCCGACCGCTCACACACAGACAGGGAGACAGCGGAGGAGCAGCTCACCCTGCCCAGGGCTGGGAAGGCGGGGGGTGGGGGTAAAGTGGGGGCAGTGTGTGCAAAGGGCCTCAAGGGAGGGAAGAGAGTTCGGTGTAGGGCACGGAGGCCCCCACGCCCAGCCCCCAGTTCCCTGGGCTTTTCCAGAAGGAGAGCAGGGAAGGGGCCCTGCCATTGCTCCTTAGGAGTGTGAGCGTGTGCACCAGCAGGGCGGCCTTCCTGGCTCCTGTTCAGTAGATGACCTGTCCTTGTTTCAGGATCCTCAGCCAGAACCCCAGCCCTGCCCTCTGCCGCCACCCCCTCGAGGTCATAGTCCAGACACCTCACCTTGATGACCAGGTCCACGAAGCCCTTGTCATCATCGCTGGAGACGGGTGTGTAAGGCCGAATGACCAGGTTTCCGTCGATTCGAGCCGAGAGGTAGATGTGCTGGCCTGCAAGACAGGGAGGGGTCACTCTGGGCCAGGGACTATCCCTGCAGGCAACCACTGGGTCTTGTCAGCCCAGTGCCCTGTGTGCACTCCCCCAGCATGCAAAGCCTGGCCTGGTCTCAGCTCCCACTGCCCCCTCCACCCCCGGAGATTCCCATTTTCCCACCTCCACGCCTTTGCCCCTGCTGCTGCCACTGCCAGCGACCCCGAGGGCTCTTCTACGTTCATTCTGACACACTCACCCTCGAAGGCCCAGGGCGGCTGTCACCTCCTCCCTGAAGCCTTCCCTGCTCTCCCTATTGGAAACGCTAAGCTCCCGCCTGCCTGACCCAGTGCCCCAGCTGCCTGCTGGGCTCAGTGTGGGCTGGGTCCGGGCAGGACTCACCAATAGGGAGGCCCAGGATGTGCTGGGGCGATGGCAGGGCGAAGCGGAAGCGCCGGGTGTCATGGCTGATGATCTGCAAAGAGTCCCAAAGCTGCTGGACCGACGGCACCCAGGGCAGAGGGGACACTGGCCCTCAGAGTCCCCCACCCTTGCTCCTCCCCAGCACCCCTGAGTGTCCTTAAAAGAAGCAATACTGATGCCACATGTGGACACACACATCTGCACACAGTGACCTGCCCGGGGCCACATAACAAGGAGGTCAGAATGGGGAATGAACCCAGGGTCCCAAGGAGAGGATGTCAGGTGGTCTAGAAAAATCCAGGAGGGGGTGGGAATCCGCCTCTGCCATCTGCTTGAGCAGTGGCCCCGTCATTGCAGCATATGAGCAGAGACAATCCCAGGAAGGACGGCAGCCAGCCTCTCTGCCCCAGCAGCCCAGGCCTCAAAGCTGCCTCCTCTAGAAGCCTTTGCACTTAGGGGAAGAGGAGCCCCAAGGCCTGCCTCCTGGGAGGAGACTCCAGGATTATCCACTGGTTCTGAGGATCAAGGTCAGACACCCACATGCCAGACAATTTTTGAAGAAAGAACAGAAATGAAGGAAAGACACTGATAATTATTGCACTGGGCAACCTCTAGCAGGGCAGCCTTGGAAGAGCCCAGCAACAAATACCAAAAAGCAGGCCCACCTGCTGACCCCGCAGAGCCACCACTAGGCTACGGTGGCAAGGAGGGGGGACAAAGATTTAACTCAAAGATGTTTACCACATGCTCAATCAAGGGGGGCTGGAGGGTCCTTTGTGTCATATACCTATGATGAAATATTAGACGGTCAAAAAAAAAGCAGCTTTGGGTTAAACATGAAAAGGTATCCACATTGCATGGCTGGGTAAAAAAAAATCATGTGATCAACAAAAGAGGGCCGACCCCATGGCTCACTTGGGAGAGTGCGGTGCTTGGGAGTGCAGCGGTGCTCCCGCCGCGGGTTCAGATCCTATATAAGGATGGCTGGTGCGCTCACTGGCTGAGCGCGGTGCCGACGACACCAAGCCAAGGGTTGCGATCCCCTTACCGGTCACCAAAGACAAAAAAAGAAAGAAACTAAGTGTGCATACACCTATACCCCTGCACATAACATGCATATAAATGTGATGCCCAGAAAAGGTCTGGTGGGTACATGCCAACCGTGACCTGGGCCCTCTGCACAGGACTCTGGGAAGTGGTAATGGGGTGGGGGCGGGGAACAAAGGGAATGGAATGCTCATATTTCACAAACAGAATTTTTATAGTGAGTGTATATAAATTATACATTACTTCTGGAATTAAAAAACAACAAAGAAGGGCTGGCTGGTTAGCTCACTTGGTTAGGCAACACCAAGGTCTAGGGTTCAATCCTTGTATCAGCCAGCTACCTAAAAAACCACCAAGGAAAAAATGTTAATAAATATGTTTCAGGGCCAGCCCGGTGGCGCACTGGAGAGTGCGCCGCTTGGGAGTGCGGCGCTCCCGCCGAGGGTTCGGAAAAAAAACCACCAAGGAAAAAATGTTAATAAATATGTTTCAGGGCCAGCCCGGTGGCGCACTGGAGAGTGCGCCACTTGGGAGTGCGGCGCTCCCGCCGAGGGTTCGGATCCCATGTGGAGACCGGTTCCCGCTCACTGGCTGAGCGCGGTGCGGGTGCAACACCGAGGGTTGCGATCCCGTTGCCGGTCCCCAGTATGGGCGCGACACCGAGGGTTGCGATCCCATTACCAGTCAGTGAAAAAGACAAAAAGGAAAAGAAATAAAATAAAATAAATAAATAAATATGTTTCAAACATTACAGTTTCATTTTGGCAAACGAAAAAGTGTGTGCGTGCCCACATATGTATAAAACATATCGGGCCGGCCTGGTGGCGCACTGCTTTAGTGCGCCGTTTGGGAAGCGCGGTGGCACTCCTGCCGAGGGTACGGATCCCACATACAGACCGGCCGCTCACTGGCTGAGCGAGGGGCGGGAGCAACACCGAGGGATAAAATGGGCTGACAATACAATCTCCTTCAGTGGGGGACCACGCCCTCAGCACACAGTAGGTGCCCGAAAAATGCTGGGATGTGCTGAGGCTGCGGCAGCAGTGCCCCCAGCACTCACCTCCTTGTCGATGAGCCGCAGCGGGTACTTGATTTCCGGGCTCTCCAGGGTGATGGCCGGTGAGGAGCGCTGGAACAGCTTCATGAGCAGGCTGTAGAGGAACCAGACCGGGGAGAGCACCACGTGGCCCAACTGAAAAGACAGGACGGGCCCATGAGGTGGGGCCCCTGACGCCTCTCCCCC